GGCGGCGACTGCGGCCTTTTCATGGTCGCGGCTTTTTTGCGCCGCTCGTCTTGGCATGAGTGTGGCCCACCCTGACTCCCTACCCCGCCGCCTGCGCGCGTACCTGGCAGAGACCGCGACGAAGCTGCCACCTCACAAAGACTTCTGGAAGCGGATACGAGAGATCCTTGGAGCTCAGCCGGCGCAACAAGAGACTGTTCCTCTTGAAGGGAGTTCCATCCAGCGGCGTAGCGCCGAAGACTGGGTGGGACGAGCTGGAGAAGCCGATGCCGCATGTGCCAGACGCGGCCTACGGTACGTGCTCGCAGCGACCGCCTTGACGTCGAGGGTCGATGGAGTGGAACGCCCACTCTCGGCACAGGCACTCGCTATGCGCGCCGCCCGCATTGGTTTCAACGCGCGTGAGGGCGTCGGTATTCGGCCAGTGGAAGGCACGGGGCGCCCACTTCACCACGGCAGCGAACGAGACGGAGCCGACGAGCAGGGTGGGCTGGACGGCTCGACGCGGGAAGGGTGCCCACTTGCGCGGAACCTACGCATTGGCGTCTCGGCTCCTGCGCGCGGACGCTTCGGGTCTGCCGCCGCTGCTGGCGACATGCGGCCTCGGGCAGCGGCTCTTCTCCGCCCTGGGTCCCCTCAAAGACACGGTGCGAGCGGCCTTGCGCCTGTTCAACCCGTCAGCGGCACTCCCCTCAGTGTGCAGGGGCGCGACGAGGTGCTTGGCAAACAACGCAGAGACAGATAGCGAAGCCATGCATTTGACGTGGCAGGCGCGCGTGTCGACGCTGCAGCGGTACCCGGACTATGGCCGCCGTCTTACGGCGGAGGCTGCAACTGCGCAGGACAACGCGGCCCGTGTCCTCCTCGTGCCGAACCCGTCGGCGTCAAGGCGTGGGAGCTGGGATCCAGCTAACCTCGCTCCACGAGGAGATCCGACGCAGGAGTGGTGATGCTCCGCTGGTCGTGCCACCGCCCGCTGAATGGCCGGTGCAGCGGAAGCGCACGGCGCTGGTGGTTTTTTTTGAGGCCGTGCGCAGGTTGGACGTGGTGCACGATTCCACGCGCGAGCTGTTTGAGGCGGCGATGAACTTCGTCGATGCCTCGCGTCTCGACTTGCTGAGGACGTCGCGGACCATCAAAGCAACGGAGATGGGCACTGAGGACGAGGAATGAGCTGTCCGGGTGGGCAAACTCGGACGCTGCCCGACACACGACGGACGACGACTCCACCACGGCGTACACGGGGTGAACGTCTTCACTGCTCGCGAGATGAAAGGCCGACGACGTCTGATCTCCGTGCCCCGTCTTAACTCCGTCACTCGGAAGGAGGAGTTCCCACAGCTACGAAGTCGAGGGCGCCTAACGCGGCGGCAGGGGGCTGCGCTACGCGACGTATGTGCTTCTGATCGCCTTCGAGGCGTTCTACGACGCAATCCCCCTTCCCGACGAGACGAGGGACAGATTCGTGTGCCGCACATCGCCAGAGTGTTACTTGCGCATAAAGCCTTTGCCGACCGGTGCTCGCTGGAGCGTCGCGGTCGGGCAGTTCATCACGAACATGATGGTTGATGTCGCCACGGAATCCACCTTCTACCCGTGCATCGACGCCATCATGGTAGCTGCCAAGGCGGGTGGGGAGTGCGGTTTCGTTGCGGCGGTGCGCGCTACGCTGCCAGGGATTCGTCAGGCGAACCCCGCTGACGTCACCCGACAGAGGGCGTCTGCTGCAGAGCCCAGACGACGAGCTTCTCCGGCCGGCGGAAGAGGAGCAGACTTTTCTTGGCGAACGGTTGATGCGGAACGGCAGGGAACGATTCGTGTCGAGCTCGATCGAGGCAGTCTCTGAGCTGACGCCCGCACCGGCACCCGCAACGCTCCACGTGCCGCCGTTTCGTCTCGTTGTTGGCGCCCGAGGCGTACGCCCCTCCCCACGCCCCGCATGAACCCCGTCCCTGTTTTCTCACCTCCTCCGCGCATATAGAGGGATTTATCGTCCGGTCGCCCACGGCCGCCCGTAGGATTCGGAGCTCTCACGCCTGGATCCGCTGGTTAATTGGACGAAGAGAGACTTCGGTGCGAAGCAGATCGAAAGCCCGTGGTGGGCGATCGCGCCTGCGGTACACGTTGGATACGAAGATGAGCGGTACGACTGTATCCGCTGCACCGATGCCTCTGCCGAAGGCTGGGGAGCAATGCATCGTTGGAAGGATGGCACCACGTTCCAGTGCACGCAGCGGTGGATGATCGAGCTGGGAGAGCCGGCGGCCGGGGGAGGGGAGAAGGGGAGCATCTGGCATGCATCGACCCCTGCTTCTTCTCCGCCAAGCATTCAGCGCACGCCGGACCCGCAGCAATGCTCCGCCTGCGAAAGCTGATGCACCCGACGAAATCCACGCCCTGCTCAAATGTGGGCGGTGGCGACAGACCGCATTGCGCTCGTGAGAGCCCCGGCGGAGGCAGAGCGGGTACGGTGGAATGGGTCGGCGATACGCGTTGAACACCCCGCTCCCGTACACCAACGCTCTGTTCCACGCGAAGGAAACTGCAGTGGTCTTTTTCTAGGTGGCAGGCGAGACCACCCCGGCTGACGACTTGTCTCGTCACCTTGGGGAAACTCACTCGGCGCAGACGGTCGACTCCCCTGCAGACAACTTCGGAGTACCTGAGCTGCAACACGGATACTCCCCACTCTGTGAAAAGAGACCTGACAGCAAGGAAAGGAGAACCCATGTTCGCTGACTGTGGGGTGGCCGGTTTTGATGGAGCAGTGAAGATGCTTATGCGCAACTCCATCGAGCGGAAACCGAAGGTGATCTGACGTCCTCGAATGTGCAGTCATGCGGCGACGTCCAGCGCGCACCCGGCGAACGGCATTCCCGCCAGACCGCACGTTCTTCACTCAAAACCTCTCCTCTGCTCACCCTTCTCAGACTGGAATGTGAACAATCGTGAGGTC